AAATGTAGGCCTACAATATTATGTTAAAAACGTCAGCCACAGCCCTCAACATAATGACGTCGTGTGTTTTCCAACCCAGCCATCAGCCCCCTTCGCTTGAAACAGCTTCCAGCGCGCCTGCCAACGCATCCATGTTCCCCGACAAATCACTAGTTGAGACTATTTTCTGGTCCGCTTTTCTTTCTGGTTTCAAGGTTTGCAAGCTGCTGCTTTTTTTGCAAACACAAAATACTAAAATGCTGCATTTTAGGGAACAAGGAAGTAAACACAGGCTATGCACTAACAAAGTGGTTCTGCGCTGTACCTATAGGTTAAAAAAAGAAGCTTGACTTAGATGTTGTTTATAGGGAACGTTACTTCCATCGCAGGTAATAAATGAGATGATTTTGGTTCAATTCTACAATAAATGTCTTACTTATTGCTCCTTTAAAGGCCCAAAAACTAGATATTCATGTCATAATAAGTCAATCTAAACTACCGACTGGCGCTGTATAAATGATGAAGTGAAGCTGTACTTTCAGGATACGTTCTATCTTCTTGTTGTTGAACACAGGACTCTCCTGTGCTTCCATGACATCCACGGTGTAGAGCTTGTGGTGGCGGCAGTAGGACAGAACCAGGGAACACCAGGCCGCCAACTGTTTCTGTCTCGTGTCAACATTGGGCTGAAGTCTGTCAGCAAGGGAAAAAAAACAAAGAAAAGATCTAAGACATACTCATATTTTAAAACAAATCCATTTTAAAGCAAAACTAATGGAAAGTCTTCTCATTAAAACTATTAAAAATGTTTGTTATTAGAAACACTACATATAGGGGATCATTTGTGGTATTTTTTATAAAATGGATGTTTTGGTTTTAACAATTTTAATAAGTAATTATCGCTTTTATCATCCCCCACATGTCAAGTGTAGCGTCTTTACTGGATTAAATCTATAAAATTTATCTGGAGGGTTTCTTTCAGTTTTTTTTGGAAATTTTACATTTATTTTTTTCTTCATGCAACTTACACTAAAAGATGACAACCATTTAAAAAGCCATGCACTTGTTTTTTTTGGTCTGATTTGAACTTTTCTCTCAAAAAATGAAGTTTAACAGATCGGAGAATTTTTTTGGTTGGCCAATATATACTTCTGTTTTTCATTGAAATCTGATTAGGCCATTCTGCTTAAGCCATAAAGACACATTTGCACAACATTAGTTAAAAAAACAAAACAAGTAAATATATGAAATCCTAATTGCAAAACAACTTTAATTTGCCAATCGATCCGTTGGAGACTGATGGAAAGATTGGTTGGCTTTCACAGCAATTGGCAGCTAATGTTAAGCTTTGAGGAGTAAAAAAAAAAAAACACATTTTGTATAAGTGAATGCATTAACAAACAAAGCAGTTTTTTGCTTTGATTTATAATATTGTTTATGTTCATACTTAGTTAACTGGAAATCAGCACAGAGAAGATAAAAAATAATCGAAATGTATCAAACTCAAGTCATCAAAAGTCAGGATTCACCTAAAAGATGCAGGACATCAGCTAGTGAGGACTGGAATTTACTCCCCCGGCCTAATCAGTGCACAGTACAGTAAATTAATTAAAGTGCTGTATGTTTTTGTGTGCTTATTTGTTTGTTTTATAAGAGTTGTAATTGATATTCCTGAAGAAAATGTGGACTTTATCAGGTACTTATGGATAAGACTTTTATTTATCTGATCAAATGTACATTATATCCCTACCAATACAATGCTGTGGAAAAATATTTGCCAATGTTTGAAAAAAATTCTGTTTTCCTTATTAAAATTAAGAGTTATAGGTAATCAAACTTATTTTGATCTAAATATAATTTCAAGTTATTAAATTTTTAAGGAAAATAGCTATTCTAACAAACTTAAACCAGAGACAAGAGCAATATATTTATAATTATTTACTTATTGATTATATATTTGTAACGATATGAGAGTTAAATGACTCCATAATGGTGGGATGTCAGCGGTCAAACATCCTATAAAACCTATTTTCCACTCAGAGCAAACCTGCGAAAAAAACTTATTTCCATGCAAGAAGTTATTTGCACGGGACTCAATATAAATCTGCCACTGAAATCTGCCAGGAGTTGCTGTATGATTTACTTTAAAAAATACAACTGTGAGGGTGAAATTACTTCCTTAGCAATCTTAGCCAAAATTAGCTTGCTAACGTGAAGCTAGGTCCGGAAAAACAGTACGACTTAGTGAAGCTAAATAAATGGAAAATAATAAAAACAAATGTGTTTGGACGCTCTGTTTATGAAGTAGTTAATATAAATTCGACTCACGTAAAAAACGGTGGGAAATTATACTGCCAGGGCCACTCAAAACTCATCGCAGTGGATGCGGTGTTCACAGCTGTTAGTGTCCGGAAGAACATTAACTACCTAGGTAGTTCCGTTCCGGGCTAAGGAACTTAGACCCAATAGATCCTACAGTCGCTCAGGAGGTTGAGCAAACATAAGTCAACAGACTGTTTTAAAGCATTTAGATTAATACTTAATAAGAAAGCACCTAATACGTTTTTTTTTTATGTTTGTTTCGTTTATATTAGTTTTTTGTTGTTGTTTTATTTGTATTTCGTATTAGAATTAGAATAATATGGAGTCACTGATTAACACTAAGTTGTATAATTTAGGTCTACTCTGTGCAAACCTACGATAAAAAATATATTTATTTGTAACAAGAGGTTATTTTTTTTAATAATTGTAATTTATTCCAAAAAAGAAAATAAAAAACGATCCACTGGACTTTGTTCACGTAAAATAAGTGTCATTTATTCAAATAAATAAATAAATAAATAAATAAAATGAAAATAAAAAACTGGACTGAAGTTTGAAGACCTATTTATTGATTGACCTATTTATTAATGTATTGTTTTTCTTTTTTTTTTGGAATGACTATGACCCGGATGACTGACGACATCATTCATCAGTCAAGTGTCATTTAAGTTGATATTTAACAAATTTATCATGTATCAAACAGGAGCCTAACACTATGCTACTAAATTACTTACATTCAACATTGTTTTCATATTTGGAATATAATCAAACCATACAGAGCAAACAGCGAAGTAAAAATGTGCCAAATATCCATAAAAGATAAAAAGACACCACGGTTTCAAAAAAGCTTTCCATGAAACTGTTCTTAAAATTTAAAGCAAATTTATTTAGATACATTAAAAGTGAGTGGAATCATCACTGGGAAGATGTTCGCAGTTTCCCATCTACTGGTCAGAGCTAGAAATGCTATTTTAAACTTTCAGATATCATATTTGGTCAATTAGCAGATTAACGAGGTCATATTTACTGGTGTAACTGATGGCAGGCCCATTAAGCTGAATACATTTCTCTGTAGAGTAAGGAAGTTTGCTTATCTTCATTCTGTAACCTTTGCTTAAGTCTAAATGTGAAAAGTAAAACTAAAACACAAAATGGTTATACTCATTTGGATAGCTATAAAAATACTATAGGTTACTTTCTAACCCATAAAATTAAAGTTGCTTATTTTTGTTTTAAAAAATGGGTAAGATTATTTAACAATCCTGCCTTAAACTTCTGGGTAGACTAAGAACCTGTGCTTTACTTTGCCAAAGTTATAATGTAAGAATCTTCTGCTTGTAAGGGAGTAAAAATAGTCCTTCTCTTCCATTCTGAATTATTGTGGCTGCAAACATTTGCTCTGTTATTTTACTTGTTCTTAACAAGCTGTAAATTGAAAAATTCCAACAACAGGTGTTAAGTATAGTGAAGATGAGAGACACCAGGTTCAATGAAGCAGATAAGCTTAACCATATAATGCCAAAAGTATCGTATTTGATACATACGGTTTCTGAAATGTTTTGCATCTGACACCTTTTGCATAATTTAATGGTAAAAATTTTGCTCAAAATCCTATTGTACACAATCAGATATACCTAACACTGTCTTAATAATTATATCAAAAATGTATTTCTGTTTTTTCTTTTTACATATTTTGTTAAAAGGGCAAATAAGGAATTCAAACCAAAAAAAGTAATTTTCTGTTTTGTTTTATGCTTGGATCAGGCTTTAAAGGGTTAAGGCTACTGTTAAAGCAACCTGAGCTTCTGTCACCACCTCAGCAGAACCACAGCTAGATCACCTCCATATACTATAGACATAAAGCACATTATGTGGACATACTTTTCAAGTCACCCAAGTTTCTGTATGTATGAACAAATACTTTGAGCTATTATAATGAAGTGGTGAACAGTACATTATATTTATATTTTTAGAGAAACAGTATTTTAGATTTGCATAAGAAATAATCACCAGTATTTACCAAAATAAACATTTTTATCACATGTACCCAATGAAATTGATGACTTCGCTGTTTTGCTTTCAATTACAGGGATACTACTCTACTTAGAGCTACTCATTTGAAAAATATCACAATTTTAAATAAATGTACTAAATTTTTTAGGTTTCTTTTACTTCTTTTTGAACTGGTGTTTGTTGGTAGATTCAACAACTACTGGCCTTTTTGTCCAATTCTTGCTTGTGGGCATAACATTAAAACTCGCTTCCCCTCCCAGTTTGTAAAACCTCTGATAGGTGCAGCTGGAAGTGGGCCCCTAATGAACTTCTTCCAAGGGCCTCATAGAATCGGAGCAGCCACAAATTTAACATACAACAATAAATATCTGACACATTTTAAAAGAGAAAAAAGAAAACCTTGATTTTTTTTTTCAAAAGTTAATTTATTATAGAAAGAATTTGTGCTTTTTTCCACCAGCTTGCAGCATAACTATACCATTTATTACTATTTACAGGACATATAGTTATGCTAATTTCCTCTTTTCTGTTGGCTGTTAGATTAAGTTGACTTCAATCTGTTAATATATAACTATTTCTTCTCACTGTTTTATCTTACAAACTCCTCAGGTACAGCATAATTGAAAAAATACTCTCACAGTCTTTTACAATCTACATCTAATCCATTTTCTACTTCACACCAACATGTTGGCAATAATTTCATCTATTTATACATTTCTATATTACAATAAATTTAATGGGAAGAGTGAGAGGAAAAAAAATGGAAGATGTAAGAATACAATAACAGTTATTACCAGAATTGATATCATGTAACATCAGATCCTAAACAAACGTTAGAAAGAGATTAAATGCTTAAAAAAAAAAAAAGATAAAAGCTCATTTAAGACAGCGTTAATGCTTCCCAGGTTTTACCAAACTGATTTGGACATTTTTACTTCATCTAAGAGGAGAAAAGCAAGCATCAAATAGGAGAAAGTGGCTTTAGCAGCTTTCGAACATTTAGATTCTGAAAGCAGTTTGACACAGAGTGCTTCTTTCACTGAAGAAAAGTAAAATCAGTGCAGCTCAGACTTATTCCTACAATACTGGAACAGAGAGTTTGACAGTGCGAACGTCCTCAGGCAAAAAAAAAAACAAACATACAGAGCAAATCCCTTATCTTGGCAGCTTAATTTCAACGGCACTTTTAATTTATTCCATACATCTTTAATTTCACATGTGGTACTAAAGCTGCTGATGTGCATACGATGGGAAATCTTAAAAAAAAAAAGAAAGAAAACAAAAAGTCTAGCACTTTTTTACACGTTCGTCCAGATGTGCGTGACTGTTTTAGCTTCAGCTAAACAGACGGTTGTATTCATTCAGGATGAACTCCACGATCTGGTTCTGGAAGACCATGTGCATGGTGATGTTCGCTGTCTCCGTCTCCGGCCGAAGCAGCGTTGGGCCGAACACGATGGCGACGTTCTGCACAGTCATCCGGTTGCTCTCACCGTATTGAATTACCCTGATATTCAAAGAAAAAACTACAAGTCACCCATCAGCCCCACCACAAAAATATATCTCCTGCAGGAAAATAGATTTCACTCTAAAGGCAAGAGATTGCAATCATTTCATGGTTCTAAATTAAAGGAGGTTAAAAATAAATGCCCCACTTTTTAAAGTTAGATTCAATCTCGAGTACAATTTTTGGTGAAAGTGAGGTAAAAACTTTTGAATGACATTGTCAAATTAGCATTATAAAATTAGCAAAAGTAGAAAAAAAAATCAAACCTTTGTAAATGCCCAAAAAGCAGCTTCATAGTGTCATGGTTTGCAGGAGGAAGTGATCTAACCAGCTCAAAAATGTGAGACAGCTTTGTGTTGTAATCTGCAATTCCTAGGAAAATGGTGCAAAATAAGTTATCAGTTAATACTTTGTAAATATAGAGCAATCTTTATTAAAATCCTTCAAATAGAACAAGAGGTTTTGCAAAATTATTGATAAAATAAGGAGTGAAAATGTGCTCACTTATGGCTGCAATGAAGCTGTTAAAGTGGCTGTAGGGGAATAGAGGCTCAGGAAGCTCTCGGAAAAATAATTTCAGTGCTCCGGTGATGACATGAACGTCCTCCCACTGACCATCCTCAAGGTCCAGTTCCTCTGGATAATGCAACAAGCACAAACTATTAAAAAAACAGCAGGGGGCGCTGTTGTTTAAATTTAAAAGACATCATTAAGGAAGCTCACCATGATCCGCCTTGAAGCGAAGCTTCTGTATGACAGCAAGGTTTCCACTGACTCTGTACAGCCCATCAATGTCTAAACCTGTAAACCACACAGCAGCTCCTCTCAATAAGTAGTTTCATATAAAACAAATAAAGATTTTATCATTATTTAGCCTTTCTAACTCACTTACCTCTCCTTTCTACTGCTTTAACACATTTTTCCACAAAACTAGGAACGGTGGCCCTCTCCTGAGCACACAGCGTGGCCAGATGACAACCAAACACATTTTCTAAACAAAAGTAGAACATTATTTTTAGCAGCGTGACAAAAAAATACATTAAAAAGCCTTTTAATACGCAGCTAAGGACAAAGAAAATCAAAACAAAACTGCTTTGGAGATATATCAATTAAACCTCACAAATACCAGCATAAAATTTTCAACCATACATATTATTTTTATACTTTTGTAGTCAGTTATTATATTTTCTACCTGTGTCAAATTCAATGTCACACATTGAAACTAAAGACCTAAAAAATAGGTTAAAATGCACCTAAAACAATAAAGCATTGAATATTTGATAATGCAAATGGGGGGTTATTTTTATTAGCTATTGATAAAATCATTATCTAAGCATCCTGGCATGAACTGACCTCGGAAATAACCCTTTTCTTTGACCGACTGCAGCGTTGGCCGCTTCATGAGGAACTTCATGAGCTTGGTCCGAACCTTCTTCGGATCCGTTTCCCCCGCAGCGCTGGGGGACTGCGATACGCTTGGCCTTTGGGCTAAAAACAAACAAGATATTTCAAGATTTTGTTGCAAATATAGTTCTCTAAAGCCTGTGTAAGTGTATATGGGTCCAGCGTTCCCAGGCCAGAGGGAAATACAGTCCTTCCAGTGAACTCTGAGTCTGTCCCAGAGTTAATGCTTATAAAACCAATGCAACCAAGTGTCCTATACTGATACCAGAACCACGTTTCCTCCTGTTAATATCGAGAAGCAGAGGCTTTATAAGCTCTGCATGAATCCCAGAGGTCTTAAACTTATCTCTAAGGGTTGCTAAGTCATTTCACCATCTTGGTCTTTTAGTAATGATCCACATTGCCTTGCAATAGTTGAAGCTAAAGTGGCTAATCTAGCAATATTAGATTTAATCTATAATGCTTTTATTTATTTCAAGAAAAAAAAAAACAAGACAAGAGTAAAATAGATTTGACTATAAGAATATTTACTTAACAAAATAGCTTAAAATCAACTTTAAAAGAATCCAGACTTTGCTTCCTTTAGGTGGAGGTGAGAACGTGTTCTGCCAAACGTAGCAGGGAGCGTAGCAAAGGGGACCTGGAGATGCTGGCCCCTGGACCAGCTGAGGACACGGCTAATAGATAGGATGGACCTTTCCTGGTTTTACGGGTGAGTAGAATAATCTAATACTGGGACTGGGAGCCAATGGAAGGAGAAAAGGATGGAAGTGATCAACTCGTAATGTCCAATCTGGAAGATAGAATTGCATGGATAAGTTTTTGAGTGTCAGATTGGTAAAAATTTAACAGATCTGGGAGATTTTGTGGAGATGGATTCCTTATAAGGTTGTCTGTCAAAGGTGAGTAACTGATCGAACCAGACATCTAGGTAGGTTAGTGGAGGGGAAAGAACGATGACTATGCAGGCAGGTTAAAGATGCAAGATCTGCTCTGCTGTCCACAGGCAGGAGAAAAGTTAACTGCTAAGCTCTTGAACTATTATTTAGAACTATCTTCCTCCATATCTGAGTCCTTCTAGTCATCTCGTACTCTTCTGCTTTTTGTTCCCAGCTTGAATCCAGATTAGTTTGAATCGGAGGCTTTTTTCTAAAAATGTTAACCTACGTTTTACTTTGTCTGCTCCAACCGCAGGCTTGATGTCTCGTTCTACGATTTTCTCATATAGGTCTCCATCCTCTTCCTCAGACGGGTGGTCCTGGTAGTCCTGACAGACGGAGGAAGGAGAGGAAAGTCATAAAACGTGCAAATTCACAATCATTGTCACTGATGGATTCTCTGAATATTTTCTGCATTTAAGTGCCGTTTACTCTTTCACCACTAGATATCTTATGATGTAGTACCATTGCGGCATTCGTTACTAGTATAATTTTATAATTAAAAGCAGAAAGATCTGTTATTTTATCTGATACCAAGAGTCAGATAAAAAGAAGACATTTTAACTCTCAGAAACAGTAAAGCAAAAACCAGGAGAATGACATGTGCAGGGAAGGGGTCTTCCCATTGTATTTCTGTCTACCACACAATTCAGATAAGTTATTAAATAACATCCTAAAAAATATACCAAAATCAAAGAGCAAATGTTCCTTCCTTTTTTTATTTGTTAAATTTTTGAAAAATGTATTATCTCAGCTCTACATGAGTCTATTGCTTCTGTAGAAAATATTCTTAACTGAATTGTTTTTCAGGCTCTGGTCGACACCAACAGTTATAAAAATGTGTCGTTTATTATAGTCTAACCTTTATAAAAATCCTTCTAGGGAAAAATAAAATGAAAAGGTCACTGGAATTTTTTTATTTGATTTTCTTCAACAGAAGAACAAGAAGCCAGTTTCATGAGCAGATTTGCCCCAAAATCTCCTTCTACTTTTGTTACAAAACCAAATTTAATAAGATCTAAAACACATAGAATGTATGATTGAATCTAGAAAAAAATATGAATCACATGAAAATACAAAAAAAAACAAAACTATTGATGCAAGAAGGAAAGAAACAACCCTTTTTATAATGTAACCAAGTAAAATGACATTTCTGAGATGGAAGAGCAGAAAAAGTTGAAACCTTTTGAGGTGTTAACTTTAAGGCCCTTTTTAACTCATTTAAAAAAAAAAAAAAGAATTTTTAAATATTCACTCTCCTTTACGTTGAAATAAACAAAACCTTAACAAGAAGGTTTTAGTTTTAAATAAAGAGCATAAATATAAAAATAAATAAAGACAATAAGGAGCAGAAATGCTCTGCAGAAAGAGCCGCTGCGTTGTTCGCTTCAGCAGCTCTATGTAGTGAGGATCTTTCTATCCAGCCCTTTATACGGATTTTTCTGACCGTGCAGAAGCCATGTAAACAAAACTGAAGATGTTCAATGAGATTAAGAGGAGGCAGAATGGCTCTTTTTAACCCAGCCAACGTTGTTCCTCCCATTTCCTCGTTTTATGAAAAGTTCACCATTTTCTGCGTATGGCTTTACGTGTAAATATAAGCAGAAGTGTAAAATCAGTCCTTGTGTGGTGGAAAGATTAAGCAATCCTAATTTGCAAATTCAAAACATTCCCATAAGAGCTGGATTGTTTTTTGTTTTGCTCAACTATTTCCAGCAGCTGTTCAGGTCGCTGAGCAGACTTACGAGCTGTCGAATGGTGTCCGTTAAAACTTTGTGCCAGTCGAAGATAATGCTTTCTATGTCGTACTGGATGAGAAACTCCACACCGTTCTTCCCTTTGAGCTGACAAAAGGAAAGGAAAGAGGATTTAATCAAAGTTGCTATTCAATGATTCAAATCTCAGCTCTTTAGTGTTTTATAACTACATTTGATTTGGGTTTTATTTGCTGAAGTTAAAACCATCCATGCAACAGCACTCTCAGCATGCTTTCAGTGTCAACAAACAGACACACCTCTAAAACATTCTTTTTACTGGATTTGTCCTTGGTGGCCCAGCCAATCGTAGCGCCCTTCAGATCCACCGTGAACTCTGGAACAATCTGATTGGTCCTGTTCTGCAGGGTGAAAACCAAAAAATTATCCAGCTGTTTGCCAAACTTACTGCGCTGCATTCCAGGAGGCGAGCCGCAGTTTAAACAATAGCTGTCGTCGCCACTTGAGGCACGAAGGCTTGTCTACTGTGTGTCCTCTGACACAAAAGCCAAGGCTGCGCCGCAATGTTTCATCTGTTTTCTTAAAGGGCTGAAAAGTGTACATTTAATTCGCAGACAAAACATATTGTGCCTTTCTAGCGAGTATAATAGAGTGTGGACCCTACCACAGCGCCTGGTGAGGGTTTGGGGTCTTTGTGAAATGTCAGGACTCCTCCGTGAAGAACAGTCCATGTTGGAGCCCAGTTTTTCCTGCAAAAAACCCAAAAGACAATGTAAAAAACATCAGTTTATCTATCTCAGTTATTAATCTTATTGTTTAGATACATTAAAAGCAGGGTATTACAGTTTCAGACTTAACTACATGTGATTTTGATCATTCTGGCTAACAGCTTATAAAATATGACAGCATAGTGCTTTAATGCCAGAGGTTCACAGATTGCCGTTTCAAGCACCTTAAAGGAAAGTTTAGCCACAGGAACAAAAAAAAAAATAACAAAAGGAACAACTGGCAGCCATTCTCCTCTTTGGGTTTTATTATGAGTCGGCAGGAACAGTGAAGGTTGAGGTTCCCAGATTGTTTCGATCTGCAGGTGTTGGACCACTGCATGTTTATTCAAGCCCGAATTTGGAAAGGTTAAGTCACGCCAGGCTTCCCTCTGCTCACAAGTTTTCACTTGGCACCTTCCCACACTGCCAGCTTAAAGTGACACACCCAAATTCCTAAAAAACTATTAAAACTAACTGTCAGGGTAAAATATTAAATTGATCCAGCCCCCAGCCTTTCTGTCAGAGCATAGCATCATAAGAAATATTAACAATATAACTGCAAAAAAAACGTGCCCTATTATCGTAAAAACAAAATCAAAAAGTGCGTCTATATGAAGAAAGAAAGAAAGAAACCATTTTTCTCACCTTTTTTGTACTAACTTAGATTATTAAATCAGCTTTTAAACCTTTTAAATGAGCTTTTTTTTACTAAGCTTATTACGTTTTAAACTGTAGTGTCAGCTTTGAGACAGAGGTGGACCCTGCAGACCGCGTTTAACATCACCATTTAGCCCCGTTTGCTGCAAAGTGGTGTTTATATTTATTTATTGTCCAAGTTACCAAATACAGTAACTTGGACAATAAAGGGTTAAAAAACTTGCCTTTACTCTACATATTTCTATCTTGCATTTCAAATGTTGTTTTTATAGCACTTTAATTTGTTTTTTATGGGGGGTGTTACATTTTAGGTGTTTTTTAAATAACCTCACCTCTAAATTTAGGTTCCTGAATACCTCAGCAAAACTGAAGGCTTATGGCCTCCATTCTGCAAAGCACGATAGCATTATGCAGAAAGAATAACCCTGCAAGTAGTAAATGTGCTTATAGAACAGCATGTACAAATGTTGCATCTAACATTTCTTATGCATCTGAATTAATGCTTTTCGTTTGATGCACTTAATAAAAATCTAAGTTTATACTGTTTAGGTGCATAAAAAAAAACCCAAAAGAAACACAAGAACATAAAAGTTGTGAAAGAAAAAGAGCAACATTGCAACTTACCTAACTTTCTTTCCATTCTCACAAACTTTTGTTTTATTAAGAATTCCAGCTTTTTCCAAGTTCTGTACCTGCAATTTATTCAGAAATTACAATATTTAATCTTTTTGACATTTGTTTTTTGTATTTGCTTACATGAAAAGATGGGATGGAAGAGACAATGTTCCAAATGCACAAAACAAAACAAAAACTGTTTTCACTTTGCAACAGTTGCAGTGTAGTTACATCTGCAAAGGGACAAAAACATTTACATCCTGACCACAGAAATCAACATCTGAAGTTTGCAGATAAACACTTAAGGCAAGCACAAGGCGTCTTGTCCTGCAGGGTGATTGGTTTTTAAATAGCGCCTATTTAGCAGCAATCACCTGATGTAAGTAACGTTATATTAGTATAGATATTCAACGATAAATGTTACGTTCTAAAGTAAAACATCACACAGTCAGTAGAAACTAAAGGGTTGAAATGTTGCGTAAACTGAGACTCACCCACCAAAACAAAAGAGCACTTACTGAAAGTGAAACTTAAAGCGCAGCTTTGCAAACAGCTTCACTAATGGGGAAATGGAGCTTTCTAATTTAGACTGTTTTCACTACGTTCACCTCACCCTAACCCTTCAAAGACAGTTCAGTTTTTAATGAAACAATAGCTAAGTCATAACTTGTTTTATAAGCCAACAAAGTACTTTTTAAACTGAGCTGAAAAGCAGGAAGTTAAAGTCAGGAGGTTGGAGGAGAGCTGTGCAAAGATGCGTTCAGAGCAGCAATACACAGAATATGCTTTAAAGCACTGATGTGTAAACAGCTGCGACATTTTGCCATCTGCGTTACAAAAAAAAAACATGCCTCAGATCACTTCCTTTTTAAAAAATAAAATCTTGAAGTAAAGAGAATATCGAATCTCTAAGTCATTAGGATGCAAAAGATAATTAGTTCTTACAAATAAATCAACTGATCTATTCTTAGTTTTCATAACAGATATTTTGTTAACCAAAATTTATATTAGAATCCTGATGCAAAAATATTTAAACTGTGCTTCTGCTTTTAGAAACACATAACACTGAATTCCTGAACTGATATCAAGGGTTGACATGGAACTGATACCGAGCCCAGATGAGGCGGTTTGTTTATATTCTTGCAGGGAAAATACTGATTACTAATAAAAGGTGGAGTGATTTAAATAAATTAATCATGAATGGAAAATGTGGAAAAAAAGCTTATTATGTTATTTATGGTCACACCTTTTGCTCATCATAGATAGCTGCTGCTATCTATGTCTAAAGCTCAGGTGAGCGCTTAAACTAACAACCCACATTGTAGCGCAGCCACTTTGAGGTCAAATAATAAGGATTTCTCCAGGGTCTAAAATCAAAAGCCTTAAGGAAGAAAAACAAAAACACACAACTCAGATATGGGGGCAGATTACAGAAGTAAACGGGTTTAGATTACTGACTGTCACACAGCTGGAATGGAAGAGCAAATGGTTGACTTACGTAATGCTCTGGAGAGTTTCCTGTACTGGAGCTATCGCTGCTGTGGTCTGATGTGTTCCTCAGATGAGTCTGCACAAACCTCTAAATCAGAACACAGAAGAGGATTTTACAGTCAGTTTGGTAAAAAATAATGAACCAACACATTAGGGCTGTGTCACTGGTTGATAAATGTATTACCCTTTAAGACTTTTAAATTATAGACAACTGTTTTGTCTTGTAAGGTAAGGTAAGTGCCTTTATTGTCCCACAATGGGGAAATTCACCTCTGCATTTAACCCATTTAAGGGTCTTGCTCAGGAACCCAGAGTGCAGGCTGTGGGGATCGAGCCGGGCACTTGCAACCTTCTCAGGTCACAAGCGCAATGCTCTGACCACTAGGCCAACCCTTATTTGAATTAACAATCGGGAAAAACAACTTGAATTTAAATTGTAACCAAAACCCTATCTAAAAGTAACAAATTTCCTTAAAAAAAAAAGTCCTCTCTACCTTTAACCTTGTTTAACTTAGGTTAGAGGAGTTTCGCTGCCTACATCCCCCAGAATGCNCTTACGTAATGCTCTGGAGAGTTTCCTGTACTGGAGCTATCGCTGCTGTGGTCTGATGTGTTCCTCAGATGAGTCTGCACAAACCTCTAAATCAGAACACAGAAGAGGATTTTACAGTCAGTTTGGTAAAAAATAATGAACCAACACAAAAGGGCTGTGTCACTGGTTGATAAATATATTACCCTTTAAGACTTTTAAATTATAGACAACTGTTTTGTCATGTAATGTAAGGTAAGTGCCACAATGGGGAAATTCACCTCTGCATTTGACCCATTTAAGGGTCTTGCTCAGGAACCCAGAGTGCAGGCTGTGGGGATCGAGCCGGGCACTTGCAACCTTCTCAGGTCACAAGCGCACTGCGCTGACCACTAGGCCAACACGCATTTGAATTAACAATCGGAAAAAAAAAACTTGAATTTAAATTGTAACCAAAACCCTATCTAAAAGTAACAAATTTCCTTAAAAAAAAAAGTCCGCTCTACTTTTAACCTTGTTTAGCTTAGCTTAGAGGCGTTTCGCTGCCTACATCCCCCAGAATGCCATGCAGTTCTGGACTGGGACTCAGTGGGATTAAACCATTCTATTGGATGTATTTTGTAAGACGGCATATTAGGGCCAGGCTAGAGATTTTTTTTCTTCTATTTCGAGAATAAAGTCACAACATTATAAGAATAAAGTAATACAATTATGAGAATAAAGTCATAATATTAAGAGAATTAAGTCCTAAAATTATGAGAGAAAATTTGTATTTTATGACAGCTCTTACAAAAAGCACTTTCTTCCCTAAAATGAGGAATGTCGAGAATTATGTGAAGTTATACTTTGGCTCTGGTTTCATAAATAAGAAAATCTTTTAACATCGGCATCACATTGGGCAATAGGTCAAAGTGAACTCAGGTTGCTGATTGGTGGAGCTGGTCGGCTGTTATATGCTGGTCGGAGCTTGAAGCGTTCTTTCTAAAAATAAAGTCGTAATGTTACAACTTTATTCACGTAATATTACAACTTTATTCATGTAATGTTACGACTTTATTCTCATAATGTTACGACTTTATTCACGTAATGTTACAACTTATTTTTGTAATGTTATGACTATTCACGTAATGTTACGACTTTATTCATGTAATATTACAACTTATTCTTGTAATGTTACGACTTTATTCACGTAATGTTACGACTTTATTCACGTAATATTACAACTTTATTCTTGTAATGTTACAACTTTATTCTTGTAATATTACAACTTTATTCTTTTAATGTTACGACTTTATTCTCGTAATGTTACAACTGTATTTTTGTAATGATATGAATTTATACTCGTCATATTACAACTTTTTTTCAAGTAATTGTAAGACTTTATTCTCAAATAAAAAAAAAAAGAAAACTCTAGCCTGGCCCTATTAGTCCTTCATAATTTTGTACTTATATTGACCATTTCCATTTCATTTCATTTCATTTGTTTTGAAACATGATTTGATTTAACAATTTTTACATTGAATGCTTTGACCAAGTGTCATTAAAAAACATATTATTATTGTTTTATTTCCCTAATCCTACACCAGAGGACAAAACAGCAAAGGCCATTTTCTGCATTCTGCTCTGAACCAAGAATCATTTGGAAAAACCGACAAAATTAGAAAAGAAATTCAGTGAAAAAAGTCGCAAAGATCTATTTTAGCTTCAAGCTAATCGCACCATGCTGATTCATTATATTCTTGGAGTAAAAATAACCCAGATTGAAGCTAGGTGCTAAGCTAAATTCTAAGCAAGCTAAATGCTAATTTAATTAAAGCCTAGCAATGCAGAACAGCCATTAAATGCCTGATGTTGTTGTCTTTAAGGACCAGGTTTTGAACATTATATTAAAATCCTAATCTATGCTTTTTTATTTTAGTTTAGTTTTTATGCTGATATATATATATATATATATATACATATATATATATATCTTTTATCTGGGCACCCATGCAAGGTTGTTATCCTTCAGTGATCTCTTTTCTAAGAGGTTTCCTATTTGTACCTTAAAATATTTAGAGTTTAAATGTTGTGTCCTCATTGCTTTCCTCCTTGCAAAAAGTTTGGGCACTAATGATCATTATCAGTCGCCTGAATGAATGTATTACTTTCAGTTTAAGTCATCCCCAGCTGTGCCCTTCAACAAAATGTTCAACCTTTAGATCCTGCTTTTTGTAGTAAGGAAAAGCAAAAGCCTGTATTTGTGGCCAGAAACTCCACAGGTTCTGTGCAAATGTTGCCTCTCCCTAAATCAGAGAGCTATGAAGTAGATTTGCCTTGCTAAATAGGGGTTAAACCTTTCCGATGTTGGCGGATAAACACAGACTTACCCACACACTACTTGCCTACTGCATAACTAGAGCTTTATATTTAGGTGTTGGACACACCCTGGAAGTGTTACACAGTTCCTGCACACATGCTGAGTCTGTCAGGGTGTGAGTGTGCTCATGCATGTACCCCATCTTCCTGGTTAGTGGAGAATTGAGCAGGTGCCCTCGATTCTCTCCAGTTTTTGATGATGTGGACATTTTCGTTCTCATCACCATTCTGCACATTGGAGTGTGATGGAGCTCCTGGGGCCTACAGGTCCAAAAGTAAAATTAACACCATAAACAATGAAAACTGACAGAGAATGTTCATTCTTGACTTAATTTGGAGAACATGTCTTTAAAGTAGAGCAGGATCTTCACCTCAGGTAGATTCCACTCAGACTTGGAGCCGTCCCTCAGGTAGTAGTAGGTCTGCCCCTGATCATCTACAGACTTTATCCACTGTTAAACAACAGAAATATATTTAACTGGAATATTTTTGCTGTATATTTTACAACTACCCAAATTAATAAATGTATAGCGTAACCTATTTTTAAACAAAGAAATGCGATAATAGAAAAGATTCACTTATTTTTCAAACAGTTGGTGATCTTACAGGGTATATAACCTATGTAAGAAGTCAAAACCAAATAGATTAGTGATGCACTGATTACACAAGATTGGCCAATGTTAATATGGGTATTAATATTGCATTTATGACTAATAAAATTATATTTACCAATGAGATATTTTCCTATTATTCTGTAACATGTTACAGGATTCAAGAAGGACAGGAAGAGGGCAGGTTTGTCCTCCGTTTAAAAAAAAAAAAAAAAGTTTTATCTCTTTCTTTTGTACCAGAATAATACAACACTAGATATTTCTCACTGATACAAAGTATAATGGCAGCTGTGAGCATCAGAGAAACAATGCAGGTCAGAAGTGAAGCAGACATTTAACTTACCATAATGTTTGTATTTTTACAGACCGTTTTTATTGTTACAAGTACAAACATTATGCCCCATCCCATCCAGTACTTTTAGTCACATAAAGAGAGTTTGAAAAATGAATACGTATATATTTTATTTAACTAAAACAGCTCATTCTGTGACCTAAATGTATGCAGGAAACTATATCAATGCTGAATTCCTCTAAGTACTCCTTTTAACTGTGTTAACTAACCTGCTATGTGGTAAGTTAGCTCTTTTAGATTGGATTTTAATTTTCTCCTTGCAAATTTCCAGCTACTCTACACCTCAACAAAACAAAGTCCCTTGGAAAAGTTTAGCTTTTTTTTTTTTTGCTTAACTCACCGTAATGGTTGCATTATGCTTAGCTACAATTAGCACTGATTTCTAACAATTAAATCTGAAGGTAATAATTGTGATTTGCAGGCTTTTATAAAACACAGAGGCACATTAAGCCTTACTCTCAAACCTTCCCAAATGATTTTCAGAGGTGTACTTTTGTGTTTATTAACTAATCTAAAAATACAGCTGAGCAAAGAAGTTTGAATTATATTTCAAGGGGTTTATCTTGATTCATTGGCTCAAAATGATCCCCACCTCTTCCGCAGGAAATGTAGATGATGTAGCAGTTTTACAGGAAGTATTGTTGACTCGATCATTTTAATAAAACTATGATTCCTTTTGCAAAAAAACACCTTCTACTATATATTGACTGTTGCTAAATTTTCCAAATAAAGGTTCACCTTTTTCCTGCCTGCATAAATCTTTAAACATTTTTAATGGGGGACATGAAAAAAGAGAAAATAACAGAAACTTAGTGATAAGAGGATTTCTTCTGGAGCAATTTAAAGGAATAAAAAATAAGTTGGGAAATTAAAAGGAATAATATGAACTAAATTTTACATACTATTGTTGTTAGCTTTAGTCTTTCAGCTAGAACAAATGAAAAAGAAAAAGAAAGGGTTCCAAAAGTAAAATTAAATCTGCTACCCCTGGAGAACATTAAAGCTTTAATGGATGCTTGTTTCACACTAACCCCTAGGACCAGTTTCTATTGATTCCCTGATGTTTAATAATATATTTCTAATCTTAGAGCCAATTTAAAACATAAAAAACAAACAATTTAAATCTTGTACTGATTAAAATAAAAAAAATATATTATGATATATAGATATTTATGACTTTATTTTTAAATTGCATTGTTTTGTTTTTATAGACTTTGAAGGAAACTTCACCTACAGCGCACCATTTTAGAGGTAAAACTGGGTCTTGCCATGACTTTTTCTGAACCATATTACCCGTACTGAACATGTTTAGAAGGGAGGGTGGCACCACCCAAAATTTTTTTTCCAGCTCTATCCTTAGCAATGCTTATGGAAGAACTACTCAAACCAGAGAAGGAACAAAAAGCTGTAAAATAATCTGCTACAATTGTGGAAAGAAAAATTCAATTTAATTTTAAAGTTCATTGATCTTAACCAACACCTCATTTAAATGCTCCTCAGTCTGTAATGAGGACTTTGTTGACTCTGCATACCTGATCTGGAGAGTTTTCACTGGTGAAAACCCAGGTCCCATTGGGTTCCACAGTCAGGTTCCATCCAGGCGGGGTACTGCGATCCAGGTTGGCCCGGGGAATATTGGTCCGACTCACATGACTGAGACTGTACTCCTTGGGGAGGGTGGGAGGTCCGGTATTGTTGAGATCCTCGTATGCCTCTGCTGTTTCTGCACCAGGGTAATCTTCTGAGGGATAGTCCTCCGCAGGTAAAGGAGGCTGGAAATAAGGGGGATGACAGATTAATAAAAAAAAAAAAACTGCATGTGGGTACAGCTTTATAATATAGCTTTGAGCTGAAGGGTTAACACATGTTAGCATTTATTTTCAAAATGTATCATTTATTTTCATTTAAATGTCAGTAAAAGTTAAACACAGGAAAAGTTGGGCTTTATCAGATATGACATTCACATTAAGTACTGGTAAATGTAGTCTGAAAACAAACTCCAACGCATAACAAAAACATGTAAATGAAAGGAAAGTAATGAGAATAACCCTTTATAGATCCAGAGAGAGGAAAATTATCTTATTTTTCTATCTTTCTTCATGTTAAAAGGGAGTTTTTCCTCTCCACTGTCGCTATAAGCATGCTTAGTGTGAGGGATCGCCTTCGAGTCAATGAGTCGATGCAATCAGCTGGTTTTCCTTAGATAGAAAACTTGAGTGGATGATCTGGTTGAATTGTAAAGTGCCTTGAGATGACATGTGTTGTGAATTTGCGCTATATATAGAAAACTGAATTGAATTGAATTGAATTGGGCTGATAAACCCGATTCTAACTGATAATTTTGGACGGGATCAATGGGCTATAGTATCTTTAAAAATGTTCACACCCTGAAATTGATATCTCTGGATAAAGCAGAAGTAAGAAAAGGTATGGATTACTTTTTCATCTGATAAAAGTTCAGAAAAAATCTAAAGTGTGACATATAGTTACCCCAAAACAACACAGGCAACTCCTCACCTTTTACTATTATTACAGTCATTGATCTTTATGACAGCTGGTATACCACAGATTGTCATTTAGATTTAGGTCTTAACTCAATATTCATATTGGATTTCCTCTCTCAGTGTTTGGTTTATGTTCACATTTAAAACTACTCTGCTGTTTTTGCAGTTACATTTTTTTTATGATATTGTGTCATATTTTTCTGACACACATTTTTGTGTCACTTCTTTTTTTAGATCAGATATGCTTTGTTTGTGCAGACATTCGGTTTCCGTTTATATTCTGTTTGCCTTAATTCAAGTTTTTCACTTATTTTTTTTTAGTTTAGTATGTTTCTCTTTAAAAGAAAAACAAAAAATGACTACATGGTTTAAAAAAACCACCTTTTTTTATCAGTTGCTGTGACTCTTCTCTTGGGAAAGAGTTTGTTCTCTAAGAAACCTCTGAGGCAGACACTAAAACTATTTATACTGAGATAAAATTAAACACAGGTGGACTCACTTCACTATATTCATAGGTCAGAGCGTAATGATACACGTATTTGTCATGAAAATATCCAGTTCAGCCTAATATTTTGGATGCATCCAAGTACCAAACAAATACAGTGTTGTTTAGATGTGAAGACATGCAGAATATTGATGTGCAAATATCTTCCTGTAGAGCAAATTTGAAAAGTGACACCAAAACAAAATGGTCATTAAAGTAATTGTTGTTTCTCATGCAGCTACAATGGAAAGCAAACCAAAAGGGTACGTAGGTGTAACTATTTTTTTTAACAGCAGTGAGCAACACAGCATTACTGGATTAATCACATGAAAACATTTCCAACTTGAACAATAATTCAAGATCAATATATATCGCAATGTATTTTTATTCAGTAACAAGGAAATGACTTTTCCCATATTCTCATTACCATTTTTTTAAAGCAAATTTTATATATGTTAAATGTTATACTGGAGCGGTTTTATAAACTTTTATTTTATTTATATCCATATTGAAATACAATCCTATCAACCGAAATTAAGAAATATATTGTGATAAAAGTTTTGGCTGAATTGTTGAAGAAAACAAGCAGGCATCTAAATCCAGCTGCCTGTAACATTCGCTGAGTAAAAACGCTGCACAGCATGTGAGATATAGCAACACCCTGGTGTTGCTAGGAAGACTCCCTATGGACAGCTGCTCTGTCATGGTGCATTCAAGTACACTGGACATTTTCGGACTGCTCAGTAAATGCAAATATTTTCAGGACTGGACAATTTGATTTATTTTTGTGCATAAACATGAATTTTTTCACTGTAGATAATTAAAAGGGAAAGTGTTTTTGTTGATATGGGTTTGTAATGAGTTTCTTTTTGTGGATTTTCGTTGGTTTTTCTGTAAACAAATAACTATAACAAATAATTATCCTTTTTGTTCACTGTATATAGTTGCACCTATTCTTTTAAATTGAATTTTTCTAATAAAAAAAGATAAAAAAAAAAAACTACATTGTATTAATATCAAAATAACTTCAAAGGGACTTACATCTTTTTATATGCTTATATCGCTCTAATTGAATTCATAATTTCCTAAACAACACAGACTATTTTTTAGCAGTCATACTGTTTTAATATGGAGCCTACCTATAGGCGGAAGTTCAACTGAAGAAACTGATTTCTCGACTACATCCACCTACAACGCAGCCAATCAGCTCGGAACCACACCTCCATGAAAACCAATCAAAAGGCATCGAAAGTTAATCTTAAAAGGCCTCCGGCAACTTTTCTGCTCCTGTAGAGGTGCTGGTGTCTTCATTCAGATGATCCTGTTTCAACCCGCCTCCATCTCCTCCTCCACCATCGTAGCTAAAGCTTCATCAGAGTGTCATTCCTCCCTCACTCTTACTGCATTCCGCGTCTCATTTCAACCGGTCCGGCAGAAGACCGCCATGTTGAACCTGGTTCTGCCAGAGGTTTCTTCCCAATGGGGAGTTCTTCCTCTCCACTGTCGCCTTATGCTTGCTCATCATGGACAGGTTCTCTCAACCTGTGTTATCCAACTGGACTAGCGTACCGTCTCGCTAAGAGCTCAGTCTACAGACTGACCACCTTCATCTATCTCCACTCCACCACCAGTTTCAGTTCTAGGGGAAACAGCCCTGTTCTTTACTCCTGTTCATGCATATCTATCAAAATTCAGCGCTATGTTTCCTGCCGAGGTCTGAGCACCAAAGACCAAGTAATTGTATCAATAAATTTCTTCTAATTGTCTTTTCTCTTTGTTTGAGTTTTTCAGATTGAACTATCTATTATTCCATCCCTCTGTCTGTCCTTTCCAGCAATCCCTCCCCCCAGTGGGTTTCCCGGATTCAGTTTTATCAATAAAAAAATAGAAGCAGACATCTCCAATCACTTCCACAGTGGCCAAATTTCATTGCGATGAAACATTTTTACATCATACTCTTAACTGAAGATGACCAAAAACATACTTAACTATGATTTCAAAAATAAAGTTTGTTTGTTTACCCTTCCCTTAGTTTAAGAGAGTGAAAGCCATGTGATAAAGTCTTGAATAACAATGTGTGATCTTTTGACATCTCGACAGAAATTTCAACAAGCATGCGTAAGTTATTCCATTAATTCACTCCCAATTCTCAGCGTATTACACAAACTGTTTGTTTAATCTTTTCCAACTCATTGCAGTCACTGAATGATGAGTTCACTGACTCACTCCAATGATCTCAAAGCTAAACTCTCATAAAAACAAGTTGCAATAGCTTCCATGACCTTAATGTGCCATTCTAACTCAGCCCATTCTTCCTCTTTTTATCGCTCACATGAAGTCATTCAAGGGCAAAAATGGGATCATTGCTGATTTGGATGTAGCTATAAAAAGACCAAGAGAGGATCCTCATAAAGATGTGTACTACTGTGGTCAAATTTTCTTATATTGAGTCATTGTCCTTGAAATCTGTTCAAAGAATAATTTTACTAGTTTTGTTTTAAGAACAAAATGAGGTCAAATGTTATTTTAGAGAAGTCATCTGGGACGACTGGTGAGCCTATTCTGTGCAGATATAATGAATTAAGTCATGTCTGTAATGTAGGTGCAGGACATTTCATTCCATTAAGAGCAGACTGTATTTAGGTTGCCGCTGGGTGAGGCTAAAACAGGAGACAGAGGAAGCCTAAGTAGAGCAGCCAGGCTGTCTGTCCTTACCGGTCCGTCATCGGGAAACCTGTGCATGCTCATAGGCTCCATTGGAGGGGGGTAAGGGCTCTGCTGCTCAGGAGGGTCCCAGGACGTCTCCCCGGACATGTGGTTATAGAAGTAAGGCCGACCAGTGGTTTCATCCACCAGCTGCTCCCAGTCTGAGCCCCAGTCAGATGGAGGGGGGGACGGAGAGCAAGGTACCTCTGGAGGGAGCCGCTCAGGGTCCGTGGGGGAGTCTAAAAAGGGTTTGTCCCAGGTGGTGCGCCCCGTGTCGGGGTGGAAGTAATATTTCTGTCCACTTTCTTCGTCAACATGAACCTCCCATCCCTCCTGTGTTAGGGAGGAAGGCGAGCAGGGGGAGGGATCCGATGGGGGAGATTCGGAGATGCTTTGGCGAAGCTGTGCTACGTTGACGTACACTGCTGTCCGGAGATTTTTATCCTCCACCTGTAGGAAAGGAAAAAGAATATTTAAAAAAAAACAAGGAAAGATGTCGACATCAGAAGACATTTAGTAGCGCTTCGACTGTAAAAGACAGGTACGCTATAGCATACCTACCAGCTACCTGTTCAGTGCCAATAAGGTCATAATCTGGGGGAGTTCTTACAGGCTAAATGAAGTGATACAGCTGGAATAAAGTTTTAGTGGCACCAAAAATGTAGATATTTTCCCCAATCCTTTGACTAAGAACCTATGAAAACCCATGGCTCTCACAATATGACAGATATTCCGAATGTAAACAGTGAAATTGACACATCCTCCACTGCCCAGGCAACAAGAGGAGGTCAGCAATGTTGATCTACTAACTCAGAGTTCTGCAACCTTTAGATTAGTCCATTTGTCGAGAGTTCAGCTGAGTAAAAGTCTTTTAGAGCCGCAAATATTAGAAAACTTTTTTAATAAAACAGCTTGTTATCTTTTGTTATATATCTTATATAGAAACTCTACTGCCATTTGAAAGATCCAACATCTAAATGTTTAGCTTTGGAAAAAGTAAAACATTTCATGAATATCAAGCATGTATTTTTCCATAGGGTATTATATGATGAAAAAAAATCTAAACAAAAACCCACATAATTTCTAAGATGACAAGAAAAGTAGATCTAAAAACATATTTCTGGACATTTTAATGTAATTTTGTTGAGAAAATTCAATTAAATATTCTTAAAAAAAAAAAAATTCCAAAAGCTTCAAAGACTGGCATTTGTTATCATACCACATTAGTTACCTCTCTCTATCATTTTAGGCCACAATTAAGAGCCATTACAGAGATTACAAAGGGCTGCTTATGGCTCCAGATCCACAGGTTGCAGACCCCTGTACTAGCTCATCTGAGTCACCATGGTTACCAAATGCTTTACAGGCAGATATTTGATGGTAGAAGCCATTACGCCCAGCTGAATTAATATAATTCTATGAAACTGGTGAAAATAAATGCACAGTAGAATCCTATCTGTAGGTTTATGTCCTGCATGTGTCATGCAGATTCTTTTCCTTAACAAGCCAATGGTTCCCTGTAGGTATTAAACAGGAATACTAAAAGGTACCCAATAAGTACCTTAGACATCCATTCCTCAAACTTTCCCCCTGTAGGTATACTGTGTAGGATCCTGTAAGCAGGGGTAGATTTAGAAAATTTGGGGCCCTAGGCAAAGACAGTCAGGGAGCCCTCTGAATTGAGAAGACAACACATAAAACAGACCCATTACACAGACATATATTATTCTACGTTTTCCCCCTCTCTTCTTGTCCTTTTTCTTGTAGTTTTACTCTCTGTTTATACTCAGCTGACTTTTCTTGAAAGATCTTTTCCGAGCACTAATCTCCCTTAGCTGATTGCTCCTTCTTGTGTTTCCAAAAAGGCGATGGCAAAAGTAAATACAACAGGAGAGCAGGAGGCGGGGTTACCAATCTACTCGCTCTGGAGAGCAGAGTTCGCTGCTTTTAGATGTTGTCGCCAAAGTCTGTAGTAACAGAAAAAAGTCGCTAGATTTGACCCTAGGCGCTTTTTTGAAATAAAAGTGCAAGAGGGGCCTGAGAAATCGCTAAATATAGCGACTAAAGAGCTAAATTAGCAACACTGCTCTTTGCATCATTTGTTTTCAAATGGTTTGCTGCTGTCTGTTTGGACCTTTCGGGTCTGAGACACACTTAATATTATAAGCTTTTTGATGGCATTTTAGCATTTTAGGATTTTTATCAAAAACATAATTAAGGTGCACAAATAAGGAAAGATTGTATTAACCATACATGTAAACAGAGTAGGCAACTGCCTAGTATTGCCTTATGGTAAATCCCCCCCTGCCTGTAAACATCCCCTCTGTACCCCTATTAGTACTTATTGGTTATCTGGAAAGATATCCTTCAAGCATCCATGGGTGTCCTGAAATCTTGCTAAGCTATCCTTTAGATAGCCGTCAAGCAAAGCCTAGGGAACCATTTAAGTACCAGGTAAAGTATAACAACCTTTTAAAAAGACCAACTGTTGGATGAACCACACCCCAGCTTTAAGCTGAGCTGTAGTTCATCATATATGGGTCTTCTGCAGCGAACTGAAACACAGGAAGTCTAGCGCTGAAAAAAAACCCAACAGCCTTCTTGGGCGTTCCTTTCATACCCATAATCAATAACTAAGCCTTGTTGTTTTTATTTTGCCTTGTACCCAGACCTCAGTTCTAATGTAGAACCAATAAAACCCAATGTCTACAAAAAGCATACATTTAAAAAAAGTGTGTGAACTGCATAATATACTTTTGTGTTTATTTACGTACTGGAGTGAAAGTTTAACAACAATATAAATACTAACGAGTGAAAAAGACAGAGCAGTTGCAGTGGACTGAAACTGGGTTAAACTTCTCTATAACTGTCACGCATTAACCTCAGTGTCCCACTTTAATACAGCAACCTTTCACCAGAAGCTCATCGTGTTTTCCTTCCATACAAAACTACATGCTCAATTTTCACATGACAAGGGCAACGCGTATAGCAACAGAGCTACACATGTCAGGAGGACAGCATGTAAAGCAGAGCCAGATCATCACAATGAATTTGTTTAAAGAAGGTCAATACGAGTGACACAATCTGATGAAGGAGTGTTTGTGTGCTGCTGAAACTGATTATACTGACACATAAGTGTGTTAACTCCCCTCAAAATACCTCTTTTTTAAAATAATTTTTTTTTCTCTTCAAGCAAATTTTTTTATCTCACCTTTGCTCCTGTGAGGCGCTTAATTCTTTGAGTAAAACTCCTGGCAATTATTGTCCGGCGTAGCCTTTCAGTCGCCATCATGAACACATTACGAATAAAAGCGACGGTCTTTCTAGACTAAACTTTAACTATGTCTTGTGACAGAGCAAGCCAACTGCTATATTTACCCAAACCTGTGCATGTGTTTCTGTGGTATCTGCTGACCACTAGAATAAATGTGCTATTCTAAAAAGAGAAATGCACCAAATGTTAACACAAAGAGAAATGGCTTGTTAAGATCTGCTCTATAACACATATCTGTCACATGGGAACTGCTTTGAAATAAATAGTTTTTGTTTTTAAATTCAAAGCCAATCCAGTCCAGCGGAGCATCTTAAAAGTATAACAGTCAATCCCTCTGCTTAGAACAATTACATCTACTCTAGATTATGACTATATTGGCCTAAAAAACTTGGCTCTAATGATGCAAAGGATGTTTAACGCATTGACTTCCTAGTAAATAAATTCAGACTGACGTAAAGTCTAAACAGAAATGAAATGGTGACCATTGCATTTTCTGCAACACAGATATTTATGGAGGTATTTCAAAAAAAGTAAAAAAAAATTTTAATCTAGTGGATGAGTTTGGCATACATGTGCTTCTTTATCAGTAAATCAGAAGGGAGGAATGCATTGGCATTTAACAATGTTAGTACCACATCATTATCTTCTGTTTTATCTACTTTTTTCATGTTCAAGTTCAGCTTAAGGTTTGAATCTAGTTAAGTAAACTATATTTTCTTTATAGCAAATTATAGCATAACGAATCTGTGGAAAGCAAACCAAAAACATTTTCTTCTTTCATTTTTTAAACCATCCATCCATCCATTTTCTAATGCGCTTACTCCCAAGTGGGGTCGCGAGGTTTTTGCAGTGTTCTACAAAATAAAATTTTAATGATATTGGCTGACACAAGAGACAGCAACAAGTTTCCATCCAGATAATAATATAAAAAAAATAACAGAATTTTTTTTTTTTACCAAGAGGTAATTATAGAAATTACCTTTGCATTAAAAAACTTAAGAGGTAGGGGCTGCCATTGTGCTGCACCTGGAGAGCACTGTGGGCTCGAATAGAGAACCTCAAACAGCAAGGTCTATGTCTGCACCTCTAGATCCACCCTCCCCACAAAACTGTACCACCCCAGATGGGACTCGAACCCACAATCCCTGGCTTAGGAGGCCAGTGCCTTATCCATTAGGCCACTGGGGCCAGACATACAAGAGTCTGTGTTCTTGTTTTCTTCTTTATATCCTTTTCGTTTTGAGAAAATACATAATGATGCCAATGAGTCATCCATCCATCCATCTATTATCTGACACGCTTGTCCTGGGTGAGGTCACGAGGGACGCTGGTGCCTATCTCCAGCTGTCAATGGGCGAGAGGCGGGCTACACCCCGGACAGGTTGCCAGTCAATCGCAGGGCAACACAGATACGAGGAGAATTTAGGGAAGCCAATTAACCTAACAGTCATGTTTTTGGACTGTGGGAAAGCCAGAGTACCCGGAGAGAACCCACACATGCTCAGGGAGAACATGCAAACTCCATGCAGAAAGACCCCGGGCCAGGAATTGAAACCAGAGCCTTCTTGCTGCAAGGTAGCAGTGCTACCCACTGCGCCACAGAGCAGCCTCATTCTTTAAACAAAATCTTTAAAATGATAATAAAGGACAGATCTTTTTACTTTAAGTCAGGGTCTGAAAACTACTCTAAATTCTGCAAAGAAAAAGAGAAGACCAAAGAGCAACTGACAATCAATTAATTGATTTAAACAAGGTAATAGGTCACCAGTTGGAATATTTCTGTATTTTTTGTAAGAGTTGATGTCAACGGCACGACAAACATCAATTAATATATAATATTATGTTATCAGCTTGCGACAGCCTGCTGTCACACTCTAAAGCTGTGTGCTAACTTAAAATTTTTCATTTTCAAAATGAGTTGCACGTTTCAAATATTTTTTCATTAGCCTGACTTTAAGTTAGCTATTTGCAGTGAAACACACAGTTTGTTATTTTTGGTTAAAATGCAATTGGTTAATTTTTCTTTGAGTTGCCAGTTTCATTTGGATCTGCTGCTGAAGGGATGCAATGAGCTCCAGCTTTCTTCTCAATTGGTCGTTCCAGGCTAATCAGATAGTCACACCATTTGTTGTAATGGAAAGGGAAATTTGTTAATCATTTGTTTAGATATTCTTTG